TTGAGCCAAATGCACACTCCTTGTTTCCCAGCGGCACCTTTTATTATTATCAAACCATTAGAAATCCATTTAAGAACGGGGCATTGTACAATGAAAACGGGGATACAGTTAAAAACACTGGTAAAACTCCACACCCCTTCCCACCCCTCTTGGCACAAACAGATTTGGAGCTTGGCTTCCTAGACTCCGGGCTACCAGGCTTTTCCCCAGCAAGGCTCCCCGTGTTGAAGGCATGGCCAAGCACGTCATCTGAACAATGGGTCCTGGACAGCCCTCCACCTTAAATGAAGTATCTCGAAGCCCACCACACAGGACTTTGCAGGCCTCTGGCCCAGGCTCTGGCTAAAAAGAAAGCAGCGGGTCAGGTGCATTTTCGCAGAGGTGTTTTTACAGGGGTAATTTTGGACTTGGGCCTGCACCAGAGTACTCTGGAAGGTCGCTAAGTCTTGCCTCTCCAATTTCTGCTTCTGTGATAGTGGAGAGGGTGCCTGAGTGGATTAGGAGTTTTAACCAGTGCCCAGGTGACCCTGATGCTTCTGGGCCTCAGCGGTGGAGATGTACAATCGGGTGAAGCTAAGCGATAGGCCAGGCAGAGATTTGACAGATCACATCCCTCTAGAAGGCAGCTACCTAGGGACACAATTCCACACCTGGAAAGCACAGACAAGATCTTCTCCATTTGCATCAAATGTACAGTCCCCTTAACTAGCTGCAGCTTGCTGGTCCTAGGCTGAAAGACCTAGAGACTGTTAGATTGACAGGGTGGTGGTTTTCAGAACTCTGCCCCAGGCCTTCAGACAATGGAACTAACTAGAGGAAATATAAAAGGTGGGGAAAGCTGCCTTTTTAGACTCCTGGAGAACAAAATGTCCTCTGCCAGGATACATGAACTCATACCTCGATTTCGTTTGATCCGGAGATTGCAAGCCAGCGACACAATGAGAAGAAGCACTGCAAAAGTCCTTAAAATTCCCGGTCCGTGAATATACAGGACTGTGTAATTTGTGTCAATTCTAACTGTTAAACTAACCACGTAGGTTTCCTGG